GATTGCCAGCTCTTTCCCCCATGGAACAGCTGGTGGGTTTGAACCACCAACCTCTCTGTTAGCAGCTAAATAATTAACTCTACCTCCAGGGCTCCTTCCTTGGAGGCCATGGAGTTATTTTAATTACTTATTGTTTCAGTGTGGTACATAGACTATTTTTATGGGAAGTAAATGAGCAAATTGTAAAATACAATAGCTTGAGACTCATTCCAGAAGAAATGAATTTTTGTAAGTGAGAATCAAGTTATTTAAGAAACTAGAATGACATTTGCTTTATGAATGAGTTAAAAGGAAGAAATTATGGAAGATATCCCAAAAGATATATTTTGATTTAGTATTATAAGAAACCAATTCCCAGACAAAGAAATGTTTATTTTGGTCAGCTTTATAGTGGCACAATATGTGGTTGTTGTTATGTGCCATTGAGTCGCACCTGATTCATAATGACCCCTCTCACTACAGAAGTAGATTGCCCAACCTTCCTTCAGAGGAGTGGCTGGTGGGTTTGAACTGCCAGCCTTCTGGTTAGCACACAGGTGCCTTAGGCACTATGCTACTAAAGCACAATATACATACAACAAAATTCATCAGTCTTTAGCATATAATTCAATGATTTTTTTAAAATACTTTATAAAGCCATGTAATGAGGCTATACCATTTTGCACTCCATCAGCAATGTACAAGAATCCCAGTTGTTCCATATCCTCACCAACACACAATATTTTCTATCTTTAGTATTTTATATGTTCTAATGGTATCTTATTGTAGTTTTGATTTTCATTTTTCTCTCACAAAACTCACAGCCATTGAGTCAATTCCAACTCATAGTGACCCCTCCTTGGGTTTCCAAGGCAGTATCTCTATAGAAGTAGATTGCCCACTCTTCCTTCCAAGGAGTGGCTGGTGGGTTTGAACCCCAGCCTTCTGGTTAGCAGTCATATGCCTTAGGCACTACAGCACCAGTACTCCTAGTCAAGAATAATGTTAAATATAATTTCTTCTACTGAAATTGCCATGCATATGTCAAGAGAAAGAATTGTAAAAAGTATAAAAGTATAAGCTAAATTATTACTGCTCCATATCTGAACTGTATAACTCCAAGTGGGGAATAATATTTTTACTTCTAATTTGATTATTCATCTCTCCTAACATACAATTCTCTTTTTTAGGTTTGCAAGTGTCCAACCTGTGGACCACCATGCCAGCTTTTAATTACACTGCCTCTGATTGGCCCACATTCTCCTTCATTAGAATCCCTGGATTGGTGACTGCACATATATGGGTCTCAATTCCCTTCTGTCTCCTATACCTGGTGGCCATTGCAGGCAATGCTCTTCTCTTCATTCTAGTTAGGGTAGAAAAAACTCTTCACGAACCCCAGTTTTATTTTTTGGCTATGCTCGCTCTTACTGACCTAGGCCTTTCCTTGACTACAATGCCTAGTGTCATGGCTATCTTCTGGTTTGATGTCCACCACATTGGTCTGAATGCTTGCTTGACTCAAATGTTCTTCATCCACACCCTCTCCTCAGTAGAATCAGGTGTATTGGTGGCCATGGCTTTTGACCGTTTGGTAGCTATTTGTGCTCCACTAAACTACACCAGGATCCTGACCCACTGTACTGTTGTCTGCCTTAGTGGAGCTGCTCTTATACGAGGTGCCACTCTTCTGGCCCCTCTGCCTTTTTTCCTCAAGACCTTTCCTTTTTGTGGGGCCAATGTCCTCTCACACTCATACTGCTATTACCCAGATATGCTGAACCTGGCCTGTGGGGATGTCACTTTCAGCAGTGTCTATGGATTGGTTTTTGTGCTCTGCACATTTGCCTTGGATGCTGTCTTCATCTTAGTGTCTTACATGAAGATCTTGGGCACTATTATGAAGCTGGGGACCCGGGACAGAAACTGGAGATCATTGCAGACCTGTGCCTGTCATCTGTGTACAGTGTTTGTGTTTTATCTGCCCCTCATCAGCCTGGCAGTGTTGCATCGTTACAGCCAAGACACTTCCCCAATTCTATATACGACCATGAGCAACACCTACCTCCTCATGACACCTCTCCTTAACCCTCTGGTCTATAGTCTGAAATCCCGACAAATCCAGGGTGCCCTACGGAAGCGGTTTTGGGTGCAACGTGTCATTGCTGGAGAATGAGACTTTCTCTGCATCAGAGGGAGCAACCAATTTTAAAAAAATGTTATTCAGAATCTACTATATGCCAAGTACTATGCTAGTCACCATGAATTCAAAAATGAAAAATATCCAAATCTTCCCCTCAAGAAGCACATAAATTAACCAAGGACTGAAAGGGTGGTGGGATATGTAAATAAATAATAAGAAGTGTAATTTTGAATAAAACTGTTTGGTAGTTA